CCACCAATGAACAGTCTCTACGTAAATATTGATAGTTCTTCACCCGCGAAGGCGAGAGGAGGCAAAATGGCACCGGCACATCTGATTGAAACTAATTAAAAGCAGAGGGTCGTGCAATTCAATATATTGATTTTACCGGTGGGACTTAAACCTTTATAATAAGTGTACACAGCTGCGGCGCCCGCGCCCACCCTACGCTGTAAAGGCTAATCCTCGCATTCCTTCTGACATAACATGACAGGTCCTACACATCCCTGCCTGGCCCCTTGCCCTGGCGACACTGCCAGTGAAGCCCTGCAACAACATGCCAAACACCAGGGCCAGGACAGCCCCCGGTGCGGTCTGAAGGGTGAGCAGGAAAAAACTAACACAGCCGGCAGCTTGGTGCAAAGGGCTCTCCATTCAGATCCGTCAGCGGGTGAGAGGGATGGGCAGGCCGGGGAGGGCGGGGACGGGGCAGCCTTAGGACATGATGACTCTCGCAATGGGCCAAATATGACCTTACTGAATGGGGAGGGGGGTATTAAAGCGATAGGGTGATCAATCAATTTTGATGGGACTCTCCCTGGAATGAAGTCATCACTTGTCTCCAAGTTCAACAGACATGTGACACTCGCTCACATCGCAGGCAGGCCGGTGGTCAGGACATCGCGCGCCAGCTGTGTTGAGCTCAGCAAACGCCCGAACGCCTGCGGACCAAGGCAAGCCCTGAGCCGCGGCTCGCGAGAGCTGTATCTGAGAAGCAGAGTCTTCTCTGTGCAAAAAATCATCCCCCCTTGCTGCCCTGAAACCACTTTTGATCCGGGCCACCTCTCCTAAACTCTCTGACGGGGACCACTTAGCAACCAAACAACCACTATGGAATAGAAATCAAAACTAGCCACCCAAGCGAACATCCAAGGCCTCAGCCTTCACCTGCCTTGATTCCAGAAGAGAAATGCACAGAAGATCAAAAAAGTTCAAATCTAGGTCACATATATCCTTGGGAAAAGGGGGGGGGGATCTTTGATTTATACAAGCAGGAAAATGAGGTTTAAAAGAAGTGATTTTGAAAGGGTTACTAGAAACCCAGCTGTCGGTGCACTCCTATGGTGCTTTTGATCCGGGCCACCTCTCCTAAACTCTCTGACGGGGACCACTTAGCAACCAAACAACCACTATGGAATAGAAATCAAAACTAGCCACCCAAGCGAACATCCAAGGCCTCAGCCTTCACCTGCCTTGATTCCAGAAGAGAAATGCACAGAAGATCAAAAAAGTTCAAATCTAGGTCACATATATCCTTGGGAAAAGGGGGGGGGATCTTTGATTTATACAAGCAGGAAAATGAGGTTTAAAAGAAGTGATTTTGAAAGGGTTACTAGAAACCCAGCTGTCGGTGCACTCCTATGGTGAGGGCGAGCTGCAGAAGGCGAGGGGGGCTGTGTGACATCTATATTAACCTCTGGCTGCTTACCAGTGAGGGCCGGCCCTCTGAGTGCTGGAATGTGGAACAGCCCCTTCCAAATTTTAACACAAGCCAGGTTACAGCTGCAAATGCCTGCAGTCCACGCTCCCTTCCCAAAGCACTCCCTGAAGGAAATTTTTAAACTGTAACAGAATCTTTTTCTAATACTCTACAGTGGTAGGGCCTGTTCTTAAGGGGCAAAAGGAGAGATCTTAATGCCAAACACTTGTCAACAAAAAGGACAGCTCGATGGATAAAGCAACAAGCAAACGGCAGGCATGGCCTTCTCTCCACTTCTGTCCCGTGTTCAGCTACATTAACAAAAGCCACTTTTACATGTTGACCCTGGCCATAGGTTTCCAACTTTCTCCTTGTCCAATCTAGCTTCGAAGACTAAACGAATCTCACTCCTTCATGCCCGGGACCAGAGATAAACATGTGTCACACACCCCGGATGCCAGTGGCTTCCTGAAAAGATTCCAAACAGAGCCGATAGGTGTTGCCAAAGAAAGAATGGGGAGGAGCGATTGCTAGGTTCCGTCTCCTGGGGACTGTTTGAGAGAGGAGCCTGTTTTAAATTCCAAAATGAAGTCTACACAGAGGTGTCAGGGGCTTGTTAATCCAAACCAGTTTACAAATCTTGCCACTGAACTTAAGGGACCCCGGCTGGCCCAAGCAGCCCAGCCCACACTGCTCCAGGCTTCATCGCAGGACCTGGTCTTGGTCACAAGGTGCAGCCTCAAGTCCTCCTTCTCTGCACCTGGTTTTGTTGTAAATTTCCTCTCGCTTCCCCTCTAGTTCAGAGCCTGCTTAACCTGGCAAAAAGCTTGAATTCCGTACAGAACGACTTATAGGAACAAAAACCAGTTTGGCTGCAGACAGAGGAAGAATAGCCTACTGGGTCTGCAAAAGCCTTCAGCATCCAGGCAGGGGTCCCCCAGGCAAGGCGGCCTGCAGGGCAACAGAGCTATGCAGTGGGGGGGAGGGCCAGGAGAAAGCCAACCTCTCCCCAAGATCCTCATCAAAGGCCCCTTAGAGGCCCCTCATAAGGACCCCAGTAATGGTGTGATACGAGCAAGGGCTATTTTCTCACTCCTTGGTAAAGTGTGAGGATGAACTCGCCTTTACGAAACTTCACATATTACAGATCAATGTGGTTTGCAATCCAAGGAAAACCAGCCTGCTCTCTCAGCAAACTGGTCCAGGGTCTGGACAAGTCTACACCATCCCTCCAACCCTCTCCAATCTCACTGCCACCCCCAAGTCCCTCCTATGAAGAATTTCTGAGCCCCAGCAGTATAGAAGAGACTGGGGGGTTATTCCCGTGCTGTTGGCGAAGCAGAAGTTAAAGGCCAACCTCAGAAGCATCTACAGGAGGCTTCTTGCCAATCTGCAGTCCAGGTCTTCACCTAACTAATTACTTCGAGTTTAGGGACAGAGCGAAAAAGAAAACAAGGTCAGTGTGCTCTGTTAAAAGCCACTCTGCCATCTAATTTGGAGTGATGTTCCAGAAAGCTAGACCCGAGAAAGTCAGGACGGTCCCACAAAGCCCAAAGCCAGCCGGACTGATTAAGAGGCTTAGACAAGCTGGTCTTTGTCCTTTCAAGATGAAAGAAATGGATTGAAAGGTGTGTGTGCAGCCAGAGGAGGGAAACCACCCAGCTGTGGCCTTCCCAAACAAGTCCCCACTTGCTTCACTGCCAGGGGGAACAAACAGCCCTGCCCCAAAGTTCCCAGAGGCACCCAGTTAGCAGCCCAGTCCTCTGGGGTGCAGGGGGCCCTGGAGTCTGACCACGCTGTTGGTCCATAGCACCAGGGCACCTTTGCACTGGGTTTGCAGAGCTGTCTACAGAAGCCAGGATTTCAGATTCCTTTTAAATGACCCCTGTCAGGCTCTGAAGGCAGCTGCAGGGACTTGCTGCATTCAGTGAGAGTCAAGGTACCCCCAGAATGGAAAAAGCCAGAAGCCCCTGGCTAGAGAAAGACCCTTGGGTAACCAGAAGCTTCAGGAGGGCTTCAGGGGTCTGCTCTCATTAACTTACTGTATCTGTGGCTTTGTTCTTCAGTTCTTGGTATGGGTAATGCACACGTGAGAGAAATCACCTGGACAGGAGTGCAGACGAGGAGAGTGGAGTCCAGGCAAGTGCCCCCTCCTGGTCACGCCTCTTCCCCATGGTCCTTCCAGTGGGGCCGGGTGACATACAGCACAAGGAGCCCGAAGGATCTGCACCTTGCTTTTTCCCACCTCATACATCTCAGATTACCCTAAATCGGACAGACGGAGCCGTCTCATTAACTGGCTGCTTGAAACTTTCTTGAAGTTATTTTGGCATTTAAACCTCCCACCCCTCCCTGGCTGAAGCTCGGTTCACTATTTGATTTTGGCTGTTATTAAGGGCAGACAAAGGCTCTCCGAGAACTCCAGGGACCTTATCTAGGGAGGGAAACACTAAGGCGGATTCTAGCTTCCCGGCTCCCCCATCCAAGCCCCAGGTGCCCAGTGTGAGGCTTCAGTGTCATTATTTCCACGTTGACAGAGCGCCCGTGGGCGGGGGTTTGCTGTCTTGACTTGGTTAGGGTTTTCGCTGCAAGTTATACAAGTAGTAAGAAAGCCGCTCAGGAAACAGCGCTATCTGGGCGTGTTATCTCAGAAACCAAATATTTGATCAGCAGCCCTCCAGCGCGCCGCCGGGGGGTTAGTTTGAGCAAGTCTGTAAACGAGCGCGCGCAGAGGAAAGGGGAGCTCGGCTCCCGCGGCAGCTTCGGCCTCGAGTCCCGGGGTCGTCGAGGCTCCAGGCGAGGACCCGGTCCGCCCTCCGCCCTCGGCGGCGTCGGCTCTGAGATCCCGCGCCACCCCATCGCAAAACTGGTGGTTTGCGCGCCACACAAGATAAACGCTGAAAATGGATTCTGCCGCCCGGGACCTATCATTAAATATTTAAAATAGAAAGCTCGCAATGGCAATGTTTCTTTCCCAGTTCCAGCCGAGGGAGCCCAGAGAAAGGGGGGCGTCGGGTGGCCGGGAGAGGGGGCGCGAGGCGCTCCGGGCGCGCAGCACGCTGAAGCAGGCGCACCGCGAGGGAACAGGTAGGGCTTGCCAGGGCGGGCAAGGGAATGCCAGGGCTGGGTAGCGCCGAGAGGGACGGAGGAAGGGCGGAAAGGCAGCTTTGCAGAAAAGGGCCCTTTAAATCCAGGTAGCGCGGGCTGCGCCGACTAGGGACAGCTCACATGACCGAGCCCGGCGCTTTGAACTGAGCCGCGACCCGGCCGGCGCCTCCAGCCCGAGATGTGGCCGGCGGCGAAACATCAAGGGGGCCGGGAACGGGTCCCTCCCTCCCAATAACTCCCAGAGTCCAGCACAGCCCGGCCCGCGCTCCCTGGGGGCTCGCACGACTTGGGGTCCGCTCGGCCAAGGGCGGAGACCCTCGGGCGAGCCGCGCGGTTTCGCCAACGCCGGGAGTGGAGAGCCCGGCGGGCTGCGGTAAGGAACCGTCCCCTCCCGGCCCCGAAGCGCGCCCCCCGACAGGCGCGCGGCCCGCCTGCCCTCACTCACCCAGGTTGACGAAGCTCATGACCATGTCGGCGTCGGTGAGGAAGTGGCTGTCTTGCAGACTGGCCAGAGGGGGGCCCTGAGTACTGAAGACGGCCTTGTAGGGGTAGGAGAAGCCCTGGCCGTCGGGCCCGCCGCCCTCCTCCACCGCCATGGCATTGTACAGGTCCAGCATGAACATGGGCGCCGAGTTGTGCTTGCCCTGGAGGTGCGGGCGCGGGCGATGCGGCAAGCCCAGGATGGAAAGGATCTCCCGCTGCATCTCGCGCCGCTCCTGGCTGCGGAGGCGCCGGTGGATGAAGCTCGAGTGCACCTCGTTGTCCAGGCTGAAGTCGGCCAGGGCGGAGCGCAGCAGGAAGAGGGGCGCCCAGAGCGCCACGAAGCTGTGCGGCGCCGCGGCGCGCAGCGAGCGCACGTGCATCGCGCCGGCTCTACGCGCGACCCGGGCTTCGGGCACCGCGACCCGCGCCGCCCCAGGTGGCAGAGGGGGGCAGCGGGCGTCCGCGCCACTCAGTCACTTGCTGCAGACGGGCCCCGCTGCGCCCGCGCCAGACATGGCCCCTCCTCGGTTGGCTGCGCTCTGCCCGGACCCCCTCCCCTAGCTCGGCGCTGGCCCGGGGCCCCTCGCCCCGCACTCGCCTGGCCGCACCGCGGGGCTTTGAAACCAGCTCCTGGGAGCGAGCAAGCGAGCGAGGAGGCGGGCACGGGTGGGAGGAGCAGCCAGCACACCTAGGAGTCCAGCGAGCGAGCGCCGGGGAGGCGGCAAGGCGGCGGGCGAGCGAGCGCTCCTTCCTCCCGTTCCTCTCGCACTCTCGCCCTCGCGCGGCGGCTACCCACCCTCTTCCGACCTCCGGCGCAGAAAACAGCGGCCCGGGGTCACTCTCCCGGCGCTGCGCGCCCTCGATCGCAGGAGAGGCCGCCTCGGGAGCCCCACAGTGGTACGCGCTGGGGCCTGGAAGAGGAGGAGGAGGAGGAGGAGGACGGGCTTCCAGGGGCCCCTCCCGCGCGGGCGGCCTCCCACCTGCCCTCGGCCCCGCCCTCCCTAAGTTGTGCCCAATCGGTTCATTCATTTCTGCCAGCGCTCAATAAATATTTACCAAGTGCCCACCGGGTGCCCAGAGCCCGGCCGGTCGCTGCTGGGACGCGGAGAGAGGAATTCGAGGCGGCCCGGCCCTCTTAGGACTGGAAATCCAGGCGGAGGAGGCCTAAACCAACCAGTGGGATTCGGGCTTTGGTGGGGAAAACCACCCAGGGGGCAGACGGAAACCTAAGGCTTCCTGGAGGCGGTGACCTTGAGCCCTCACCCCTGTGCTCCCCTCACCACCCTCACTCCAGCCAGGGCTGACCCCTCCAAGCTTCCTCAAGTCAGTTGCTATATGTCTTTGGACGGCTCACGCCTTTTCTCGCGGACCCCACTCAGGTGCCGCTTCCTCTGGAGACTTCTCCCAGAGCAGCGAGTCTAAGGTCTCTTCCTTTCCTCGCTCCCACCCAGCTTGCTTTATTTTTTAATGTATTTAATTGTCTGGAATGGCTGTTGGGCTTCTCTGGTGTCTTCTTTATCGTGTGGATTCCCTCACTCCACTCTAAGCGCCCTGGGGCCCACTACAGTGACCTCCTGGCTATCTCCTGCACCAGGTCCCCACCACGGCCTGCAGGACTAAGCGAAATGAGCGACTGGGGAGTTTTCCCCACCCCCTCCTTCTGTCGCCCTGGAAATTCCTGACCTCTCTGAGCCTTGGACCACACCCCCAGCCCTGCCCCTGCCTGCCTTCCCACCAGACCTCCACCTGGCCTGGCAGAGGACAGGCAGCTGGCCTCGGCCTCCAGGCCACCTCCACGAGTCTGTGCCTGGCCCTCACCCAGCAGTCGGTCTTCCTTCTGCTCTCCTGTTCACGCCACCGGCCTTACTGCGTGACCACTCAGCTCTCAGCGGCAACTGGAACCTCCAGTCTCCGAGGCTGGAGCACCACCAGCAGCCAGTGACCATCGGAGAAGGCCCCTAAAGAACCTGGATGATTTCGACCTGTGACAAGTGATGGGACAGGGAAGAGAAAATGAAGCGAGGGGCCAGAGAGGGGACTTTCAGTGAAGAGGCCCTGACGCTTGAGTCCTGAAGGACAGAAAAGAGACGAGCCTCTCCAGGGACAGGCGTCTGGTGCGTGGGCCCTGCAGTGATGAACAGAGGCCAGCCCGGCCCAGAACCCCAGTACTGGTCTACAGGGAGGGGAGGGAAGAGGATGCCCTGCAGCCGTGGCCCACCCTCGATGGGATGGCGATGGGATGGCAGCTGAGAGGAGGGGCTCAGCTTCCTCATGGTCTAAATGAAATGCAGGAAAGATGGTGGCCCTCTGCAGCCAGCCCTGCAGCCTCGCAGTTAAGAAGCTGGATGCCTGGTGGCCAACTGTGGGTTTGAATTCTAGCCCCAGAGCTTGAAAAACACACTGGGCATGTGTGCCCCAAAGTCCCGACAGGATGGAGAAATGGAGAGAAGGGACTGAGGTGCTCACTGTCCCGCCCCCAAGCCCCTGGCTGGAGACATGCCCTCAGGCAATGAAAAGAGCTCCCACTCTGCAGCCTTCTCGGTGCCTAAGCCACTGTCAAGTCTTTGGGGAGGAGCTTTACAAGCAGGGAGGCTGGGAGTCATGGGGGCAGGTATCGATGTGACCATTTACATGTGGAAACAACCCTTGTGCCAGCGCTACTCCTGTCCCCCCTCAGGCCTCCCGCACCCCGCCTGTGCAGCTGGCCCGCGTGCACCCTGTGCCTGGCACGCAGCAGCTGCCCAGCAAACACCTGCAGAATCCATGGTGATGAACGCAGTGGGTGCCTGAAGACCTGGCTGACAGGGCTGACGTGCAACACGCTAAGCCGTCGCCGGACCCTCGCCCCAGCAGCCTTGCTCTGAGACGCCATCTTTTCTCATGCAAGGCAAAGGGACAGCATGCTCTTTATTTCCAAGACCTGGAAGAGATAAGGTTTCTCTGAACTCCCCAGCTCCCAGTTAGCCTTATCTGGCCTGTAATCCATGCTGGGGGAGGGGTGGCTCTGCGTCCTTCCCCTGCCTTCTCCTCCAGAGGAGTCCCCAAACTGGCCCAGGCCCTACACAAATGCTTCCCGAGTGAATGAATGAATACAAACATACAAGCAAGAAATACCCAGCCAGGAGCACACCAGATGCTGGTTTGGGAGCTGAGGCCACCACCAGGAACGGCTTCAAGATTGTTTAGGAAAAGGCTTGGATGGGGAGGTAGCAGCCTAGGCTCCCCGGCAGCCTGCCTGCCTAGATTCACACCCCCATTCGGGCCACCTCCAGCTGTGCATCACCGCATGGGCTCGCCCTCTCCAGGCCCCCTCTGTAAAATGCAGGCACTCATAGTATCTGTCTTAAGGTCGTAGGGAGAATTCAGAACATGATCAGTGTGGTTCGCGTGGAGGGCTTTGCTGGTGCTTGGGGAACAGAGGAGGCCCTTGATAAATGTTTGTTACATCTGGATGAAAAGGAAAACATGTTAACAGGAAAGCCTCCCAAGTTTAAAAATAACAACAAAACTTTTCATGATGTTCTGCTTTTTGGCCAAACAGAAAAAAAAAAGCAAATTTATCCTGACCCTGAGAACAACAGAAAGCCAGAGAAAGCAGGAGGGTGATACTAGAGATGAAAGGGGATCCCTGCTTTCACAGCCTCTCCTTGCCCCCCAGCCCCATCTCAGGCCAGTGGGGCCCAGGGACTTCCCTGGGGCCTATCTCATTTCCCTGGCAGTAAGCCCCCCACTCACACACCCCCAAGCCAGGGCACCCACCCCTGGACTCCAGGGCCGTAATCCGATCTATCCCAGTCTGCTCTGCACCTGGGGCCGCCTCTGCCGGGATGAAAGATGGCCTGGAATTGTGAGGGTGTTATTGTGTCTGCCGGCCCGGTGTCCGCACCCTCTCGCTTAGCGCTGGGCGAGGAGCTTTCATTTCATACACCATCAGTCACATCATGCAGGAGCGATTCTGACCAAGTCAGCATATGTCTCCGAGGCAGTAAAAAGAAGAAAAGAATTCTGCTGACACGGACATTGTTGAGCGAGGTGGGGACCTCATCTTCATGTGCAGAACTTCATACCATCTGCCTGGGGGAAGCCCAGCCAGCCGGCAGGCTCCCACGGGTGCCCAGATCAGCCAAGGGGGCTGGGACGCTGTTCCTCCTGCACACACCTTCTCGGCCAAGGTCGGGTGACCTGGACCTGAGACCCCAGCAGGGAACAGGGCACCGAGCCACCGCCTCGCAGGCTGGAGCATCCTCCTGCACCGGCCACCCTCCCTGCAGAGGAAGTGATGTGGGCACACCTGTAAGAAAGTGGGGCTTCCACGCGGGCTTTCCACCACCCTGCCAGCCTCCCGCTCCTGCCTGCTCTCCTCTCTCCGGCCTTTCTCTGCACAGCTGTTCAGAGTAAGAGACCGAACATCAGTCTTACATACACGTGACGGTGGCCACAGTTCAAAATGGAAAATGCAGACACACACGGTCACAGACACACACACACACACAGAGAGAGAGAGAGAGAGAACGCTGGTGTCCTGGCGGGATCTCCAGGGTCTCACAGGGGAAGCTTATTATCATCCTCGTTGTTATTTCTTCCTCAATTTGAGGAAGCCTGGTTTGGCTTTGAGCACTCACTGTCCTCCGTCCAGCTTTCCAGGGAGACCTTTTCTCTGTCCTGGATGTGCCGGAGACCAGGCACCCTGTCCCGAGCCTTCGCTCTGGCCGGCACCTGCCAAGCCCGGGCCGTCTTAGCTCATGTGGTTCTCCATGTGGAGGGGCTGGTTCTGCTTCCCAGATCACAGAGAACGAGGCTGAGTTTTCGAGAGCAACTCAGGAAAAGTCTCACAGCTCATCCAGGGGAGAGTCAGGAGTTCAAGGCCACGCCTGTCTACACAACACAACCGCATCAGTCTACACAGCGCAGCCACGCCAGTCTACACCGTGCAGCCACACAGACATCGGTGTGCTGTAGTGATCTGGAAGTACATCCCCTCTCGCTTTATTCTAAAGCAACTCCTCTCTCTTATAACTTGTTGCACACGGTCCCCCTGACTCCCACCCTGCCCCCTGCACTCCTGACCTGTTAAAGTGCAGATTCCCACACGTGCTGTGCGAGCCTTCCCTAGGGAGTGGTCTTCGTGCTCCGTGTTGAAGAGCGAGGCTTTCGGTGCGGATAGCAGGCCCACACGCACGGTGAACGTCCCTAAAGCCCGCCGGGCCTTGTAAGAAGTGCGACCAGCACCAACCTCACCAAGTGACACAGCACAAGAAGGGCAAGGATTCTGTGTGCCCAGGGCGAGCAGCGCTGTGAGGGAAGCAGAGTGGCCGTGGTGGACAGACTAAGCCTATTTTCTGGGGAAAGGTAAAAACTACAAAGATCGTGCCGAGGCTGGAGTGTGTGGGCCCCGCTGCAGATCTGAGAACGCTGGCTAGTGAGAGGTGTGAGCATCTGGAGAGGGTCACGCGGGCCAGTTCGAAGCCTC